GGCTGGGTGTTTCAACATCTTGCATTTAACTTTCTGGAGGGAGGGCAATGCTGAGGCTAGAGCAAATCAGAGAACCAGAGCTGAGAAGCACTGGGCCTGTGGCCAGAATGGCGGTGGTGACACTTTTTCTACAATGTGGAAAGTGAGAGCTGGAGGGAGTGCCAACCATCTCTAACATCCCAAGGTTTATTTGAGCTTTATCCCTGTCCCTTCTCCCTCTTTTGTTTCTTTCCCTCATCTTCTGCGTCCTCCCATCTCCACCACATCTCCCCTCCAGGGGCTCTGGTGGCCCTTTTCCCCCAGCCCTGAGTCCAGGCAGGCCCTGCCCTCCTCAAACCCTAGAAGCCTGTGCAGGATCTTTACCCTGCCCGAGCTTTGACACTGAGCACCCCTGCTCTCCTGCCAGACCTCAGACTTCTCTCACTTGGGACTGGTCTTCCATAAAAGGTGAAGGTGCAGCATCTGACTTGCCTTCATGGCAGAGTCTAGTAGGCTCACTGCCTCTAGGGGGCAGGAGAATCATCTGTAAGGAGCTTAGAAGTGTAGATTCCCATGCCTGCCTGACATCCTGGGTTCCTGGCTCCAGAGGGTTCTAGGGAGCTGCATCATTACCTGGCTGGCTTGCAGACCCTATTAGAGAAACAGTAGGGTCTGCTTTGGGAAGTGAGGGTCTTCCCCCAGGTGCCTAGGATTCCTCTCTATAACCATGGAAGGAACTCTCCTCTCTGGGGCTCCCCACCTGCACTTCCAGCATCAGCTCTCAACCTGGGCACATTGGAACCCTGGGAAGCTTTCAAAACTACTGAATCCACCTGACTCCTGCTGCACTCCACCTCCATGCCAATGTCATTGCTCTGGGATGTGGCTTGAGCAGTGATCATTTTTAGAAGCTTCTCTGGTGATTCTAATGGGCAGCCAAAGATGCAAGTGATTGGTTCATGGTGAAGGTAAGGGCAGAGGTTGGTACTCAGCACCATGTTAAGCACTTTGCTCTACAGCCTCATCTATTGGGTGAAAGCCAGGGGCTCCCCTTTGTTTCTCCGTCGCCTTTCTTCCTGCTTCACACAGGTGCCTACCACACAGGATCGGACAGATTGAGGGTACAGAGCCAGCCCTGGGCACAGGGGTATGCAAAGATCCCTCCCCACCTGGCCCTAGAAGGTTCAGCCCAGCCTAGGAGTGCTGGAAGGGGAGCTGCTCCCTGGCACTTTAGGCTCCCCTGGAGCTCCCTCCTACATCATCCCATGTGCAGGTCTTCTCCATGGGTCTTCCTTCCTCTGTCCCTCCCTGGTGCACATTGCCCTCATCTTACACCTGCTCAGGCTCACAGACTCCACAGGGCCCTGCCTGACTTGACCCACTGTGTCTGGTTTCCACCCAGAAGCCACCTCTTGCCCATTCCCCTATTTCCTAGAACACACTTGTTGTCTCCACCTCAGAGACTTGGCACTTGCTCTTCTGTCTGGAATGTGTCTTACTTCAGATACCACCTCCTCAAAGGGTGCTCCTGGCTGCCCTGTCTACTGAGGGCCCATCCTGTCAGTGTCTTACCACAGTGGGATTCTCTTCATAGCACCTGTGCAGTGGCTTTGTTCATTCCTTTCTTGTTGGGTTGTGGGTTTTTTTTATATATCTTTTATTGATTTCAGAGAGAGGAAAGGAGGGGGAGAGAGAGAGATAGAAACATCGATGATGAGTGAGTCTTGATCGGCTGCCTAGCCCACAACCCAGGCATGTGCCCTGACCGGGAATCGAACCTCGATCGCCTGGATCCTAGGTCGATGCTCAACCGCTGAGCCACACCCGGCCGGGCTCTTATTGATTTGTTGTTCAACTTGCCCCCTGGGATATGAGTTTCATTAAGGTAAGAACTTCCTCCTTTGTGATCATCATCAAACCCCCTTCTCCCCCCCAAGCCAGCCTGGCCTGGGGTCTGACACATACTAGGTGCTCAGTTAATATAGGTGGACTTATTCAGGAACACTGGAGTGGATGCAGGACCAGGGAAGGGGGACATTGGCTGTCTGAGGTTATATGACTTCCTAGGTGACATTTGCAGGTGTGGGCGCACAGGTGGTCAGAGAGGTCACCCAGGAAGACTGATGGAGACAAGGGCCAAAGGCAGAACCTTGAGGACCATCTTGATGAAATGGTTGAACCTGAAGAGGAATAGCTGGGGAGAAAGAAAACCTGGCACTGTTGGCACATCCTGAAGGAGGTGGCCCTTCAAGCCGAGAGCTCAGGGAGCTGCATCCTGAATTCACAGGGTAGCACCCAAGGGTCATGGATAGCCTTGGTGATCGTGCTGCTAGCAGTCACCAGTGACTACCCTAGGGAGCCAGCTGTAGCTGAAGACATAGGGACAGGGCCTGGGTGAGTCTTCATTGGTGTTTGGTTTCCCCAGCATTGCTTAGGTTACCTGAGGCACTGAAAGGTGGTACAGGGTTGGTACAGGATTGGCCTTCTGGGAAGAGCAGAAAGACAAGGAGACCGGTGTGCAGGTGGTGCTGATCAGAGAGAAGTGGAGGAGCCTGTCCAGGGCTAGGCCAGATAGGATGGGCTCTTTGGCCATCCAGGAGTTTGGTTGGGAATCCATACCCAGACTTCCTCTGCATTCTCAACTCTCACATTTGTGGTCTGGACTGTTTGCAAGAACCCTAAGTCCCTGACCTGGAGTGATTGTAGTTTTCTGAGTTGTGAGTATGACTCTTGCTGGTTGGGCCTGGGCTCCAAAGCGCTGCTCTCCGGGGTCCTCACTGTTCAGGGCTCAGGAGTTGAGTCTCTGAGATCCATGGGGTTTTGTTAAAAATATGGGTCTGGAGGGTAAAAAAGAAGGTGGCTGGGCAAATAATAGATATAGCTACTCCACCCTGAAGGAGAGAAAGTGAAACTCCACAAGGTACTCCTCAAGTGTGGGCTGCACAGTGACTTCCTTCCAAAGCCTACAACATGGGGTGGGGGTGGGGATGAGGGTGACCTTACAATGGAGAAGAAACCTACCAAACTGGCTGCTTTTGCCAGGGGATCAAAGTCAACATCATCTGTTATAAGCCACGTTGATAGCATGTACTTCTGATATGATGTCATGAGAAGGGCCATTCATTGTACTCTGTGGTCTACCTCCCAAAACCCATCATGCCAACCTAACCATGAGAAAAAACATCTGACAGACCCAGATTGGGGGAGATTCTACAACATTCCTGACTACCCCTCCTCAAAACTGTCAAGGTCATCACAAGGAAGATCTGAGAAATTGTCCCACCTAAGAGGAGCCTAAGCAGACATAATGACTAAATGTTATGTGGGATTCTGAATGGCATCCTGGGACAGAAGGGAATATTAGCAGAAGCCTAAGGCCATAGAAATCAAATGTGGATGCAGTTAATAATAATGTATCACTGCTGGTTCATTACTTGTAACAAGTGTTCCATCCATTCTAGTATAAGATGTTACTAATAGGAACCTGGGTGTGGGGTATATGGAAACTCTCTGTATTATCTTTGTAATTTTTCTTTAAATCTAAAAAATAATTTTCTTCTTTTTAAGTGGCAAAACTGAATTAGGCTGTCTACTGGGTGCCAGGTCTCATTGTCACAGATACAGGCCTGGGTTCCTCTGGCACTGCAGGCTGAGCCAGCATAGCTGCAATGAGGATCTCCACCTCCGTGTGGCTCAACGCCTGGTTGTATTTTTGTATTTTTATATTAATTTATTTTTTTAATCCTTACCCAAGGACAGGGAGGAAGGGAGGGAGAGATAGAAACATCAATTTGTTGCCTTCTGTACGCTCCCCGATGGAATCAGACCCGCAACCCAGGTGTGTACCCTGACTGAATCAAACCTTTTGGTGTAGAGACAAGGCTCAACCAACTGAGCCACTCCAGCTGGGAGGTCTGGTTGTATTTTTTACCTGCTCATTGTAACTCTCTGCCAACCGGAGGAATGGAGCAAAGCTCAGTGAAGGTGGGCCTTGCTTGGCCTTACACACAGCTCTATTTCTACCCAGGGCAGTGCCCTGTGTGTAGTGGATGCCTCCTAATGTGGCATATGCATGGGTCAGATGTGGGTACATTGATGGTTCTCTTTTCTACGCCTCCTCCTGCTTGCCCTATAGTGAAGGTATAAGGCTTCTTCCACCTCTGACCCTCAACCTTTGCTCCTCTCTGGCCTCCTGGGAAACCACAGCATCTTGCCTGCTATACTGAGTCCTTTGTGGGTATCCAGTTGGTGGTCACTCCCACTTCTAAAAGTTTCACAAAGAAGCAGTGGTGACATGCTATCCGTAACCTTGGATTTCTTTGGGAAGAACTCAGGTTTTTGCATCCCTTATGACTCCTCCAGATTTCAGCTGATGATGCCATGACAGTGGAGGCCACTACCAAGGGGAACTCTGCAAGCTTGGCCAAGGTGTGAAGGCAGTACAGGGGCTGCCTGCGGGGCTGGAACTTCTCTAAGTGCTATCCTTTCCTTGTGCTCCCCACTGGGTTGCAGGTTCAGAAAAGTAAGAGACACTGGCACTGGGTAGCACCACAGCCCCACAAGCTTTCCCTGCTCTGGGGTTGGAAGTGGTGGAGAAATGCCTATCTACCTATCTGCCACTTGTAACCGTTCTCCTCCCCTTCCCAAACCCAGGCCCCGTCAGAACCCCACAGAGTGGCCGTCACCAGTGGGACCAATTGTTGTCATTGTTTTAGTGATGGGTTCCCCAGGATGCAGTCAGTAGCACAATGTTTCTTTTGAGATAATTTTTTTAAATTACAAAAGTAACATTTGTTCTCTGTAGAAAATGTACAAGGTTGCCAAAGAAGTATAACAAATAAACCATTAATATAGATTGTAACCTCATTTCCTGCAGACCCGGCTCTTAAGGTTCCTGTGTTTTTTTCTTTGTCTTTTCTCTGACCTTATTCTTTTGAGCCCAGCCAGACATAGGAGAGCATAGTCCTTTTCATCCTCTCCGACTCTCCCTGGTTTACCAGTGTGTACATGTTCTCCCACAGGACACAGCTTGGGCTATGGCTTTGTGAACTACGTGACTGCAAAGGATGCAGAGAAAGCAATAAACACGCTGAATGGCCTGCGGCTCCAGTCCAAAACCATTAAGGTAAAGAGTGGTGAGCACCACCTGAATTCATTTCTGTCCTGGGCTGGGGTCTGTGCCAAGCCCGACTTACCATCACTGTCAAGGGCATCATTAGCATCTCGGAAACCTGGTGCTTCCAGGGTATCTGGAGAGCTTCCTGTCTGCTCAGAATTGAGGTATTGCATATGTGTTGAGTGGTGACTGTCCCAGGCCTCATGCTGTGGCTCGTGGCTTCCTCAGCCCCACTAGTAAAAGGAAGGTCCCCGTGAAGGGCACATATATGGGGCAACCCCCTCCCCAGCCCAGGCCTCCCCTGCCTGTCTCATGTCCGGCTGTGACATTCCCATTCTTTTTTTTTTTTTAACTTGTTTTTTTTTTAATATATCTTTATTGATTTCAGAGAGAGGAAAAGAGAGAGAGAGAGGGACAGAAACATCAATGATGAAAGAGTCATTGATCGAGCCCGCAACCCGGGCATGTGCCCTGACCAGGAATCGAACCCCGATTGCCTGGATCCTAGGTCGACAGTCAGCCGCTGAGCCACGTCCAGCTGGACAACATTCCCATTCTTGTGCAACCCCGGTTCCATGCCCTGCCCTCCCTGCTCCTGGCATACTATAGTAGCACAGCAGTATCACCCTTCCTGCCCATCACAGCCACTTCATTCAATATTCATTTAGCACACATTTATTGAACACCTACTATGTTCCAAACATTGAACAAATTAGACAGATTCTGTGCTCTCATGGAGCTGGGTGTGTATGTGTGTTCTTGTCACATAGAACCACACCCCTGCCCTTCCTGTCAGCATTGTGGTAAGAACACACCTGTTGTCCATGCCCTCATGCTGCCCAGTGACACCAAAAGTTCATATTTGCTCCTGTGTTATTGTCTTGGGTTCCTCATCACATCAGTTTTGTGATGCTCAGTGAGTAAGTTCTGCATAGTCCTCACCTTCTGGAGCACACGGTTTTCTTGTTTCTTCCCCTTCCATCTCTCAGCCTCCGCACTTGGTTTTGACTATGTTGGGTGTGACTGAGTCCTGTTTCCTTAGATTGCCTCTTTGTGGGCAGAAGGGCTTCCTCCCAGCTTCCCCTTCCCAGCATAAGTGTGAGCTTGGTCCCATCCCTCCTTCTAGTCTGCAGGGTCCATACAGCTGTCACTTTTTTTTCAAAGACCTTTTCTTTGAAGAAAGCACCAAAGACTTTTTCTTACCATCAGCCCCTGCAACCTCCCCTCACCACCTCTAGTACACACACATGCCATTTTATCTAAGCCACTGCAAAAGTTCCTTTTTTAAGTTTGTNGAAAAGAGAGAGAGAGAGGGACAGAAACATCAATGATGAAAGAGTCATTGATCGAGCCCGCAACCCGGGCATGTGCCCTGACCAGGAATCGAACCCCGATTGCCTGGATCCTAGGTCGACAGTCAGCCGCTGAGCCACGTCCAGCTGGACAACATTCCCATTCTTGTGCAACCCCGGTTCCATGCCCTGCCCTCCCTGCTCCTGGCATACTATAGTAGCACAGCAGTATCACCCTTCCTGCCCATCACAGCCACTTCATTCAATATTCATTTAGCACACATTTATTGAACACCTACTATGTTCCAAACATTGAACAAATTAGACAGATTCTGTGCTCTCATGGAGCTGGGTGTGTATGTGTGTTCTTGTCACATAGAACCACACCCCTGCCCTTCCTGTCAGCATTGTGGTAAGAACACACCTGTTGTCCATGCCCTCATGCTGCCCAGTGACACCAAAAGTTCATATTTGCTCCTGTGTTATTGTCTTGGGTTCCTCATCACATCAGTTTTGTGATGCTCAGTGAGTAAGTTCTGCATAGTCCTCACCTTCTGGAGCACACGGTTTTCTTGTTTCTTCCCCTTCCATCTCTCAGCCTCCGCACTTGGTTTTGACTATGTTGGGTGTGACTGAGTCCTGTTTCCTTAGATTGCCTCTTTGTGGGCAGAAGGGCTTCCTCCCAGCTTCCCCTTCCCAGCATAAGTGTGAGCTTGGTCCCATCCCTCCTTCTAGTCTGCAGGGTCCATACAGCTGTCACTTTTTTTTCAAAGACCTTTTCTTTGAAGAAAGCACCAAAGACTTTTTCTTACCATCAGCCCCTGCAACCTCCCCTCACCACCTCTAGTACACACACATGCCATTTTATCTAAGCCACTGCAAAAGTTCCTTTTTTAAGTTTGTTAAACATAAGCCCAGAAGGCCTGGAGTCATTTAATATTGAACAGTTGAGTGTGGAACTCCCCTAACACTCACAGCCCTATCTGAGCTCCTGTCATGAGCTTACCTGTTGGCAGGTAGATGTCACATTCCCAGCAGCCCCCAGCTCTCTTACCCACAGTCAGGTCTTGTTCCCAGCTCAGCTCATCATCCAGAGAGGGATAAAGCCTTGGTAACTGGACAGGTAGCAGGGTTGGGTCCCTCACCTGCCACCAACTGTGGACCCTCAGTCACTCACTTTGTAAAATGATAATAATGTTCCCTTCGTTGAGATGTGAGAAAATGGTGCCAGCTAGCAGCTTATTGCCTGGTCAATGGGGAGTTGCCAACAGGTGCTTCCATAGATGATGCATGTTCTCCCATCATAGGTTGGCTTTTTCTTAACCCAAAATTTAACACCCTCCCTTGATGCTTTGGCCACACACCTGCCCTAACCCCAGAAAGCGGTTTTGTTTTCAAGGTGTCCTATGCTCGCCCAAGCTCAGAGGTCATCAAAGACGCCAACTTGTACATCAGTGGGCTCCCCAGGACCATGACCCAGAAGGACGTGGAGGACATGTTCTCTCGATTCGGGCGAATCATCAACTCCCGGGTCCTTGTGGACCAGACAACAGGTATGACGGTGGCCTGGGATGCGCAGTGAGGTTTTTCCTCTAGGCCAGGGGCCAGATTTTCTAGGGAAGACAGATCATATTTGATGTTAAATGTCATTAGTTGTTCCACTAATGAAGACAGAATTGAAATGAGATGACATTGGCATTTGTTTTATGAGACTGGGAAGATAAAGTGGCATGAAAGAGCCTCCATGTCAGGCTGACATTTTATGGTGAAAAGACCAAGACATTCTGGCACCAAGACATACCTTCCCTTGGGCACCCAGATGTCCCACCCTGACCCATGAATGGGTTTCAAGGGTTTGCTGCTGTTCTTATTGCAGGCATACAGCGTGCAATGTGACAGTCTTTACTCTTGGTCCAGTCCTTTTCATTGCCTCGAAGCTACAAAGGCAACTGTTTCTGATTATTTAGATACCCCACCCACAGAACTCAACAGGTGGTGAATTCCTCCCGATGATCATTCCAGTTCCTGTCAGGTCATCTCATTTCAGGACATTAGCTGCTTGGGCTCTGGGCTTTGCTGAAGCAACCCTAGGTGGGCAGGCAGGCAGGAAGTTGGGTTCTGGCCCTGACTGTGTGGCCTGCATGCCCTGCTGGCCTGGGAACTGGGATCAGGACATCCCTTGCCAAATCTTATGCATGCCTCCGTCTGGGAAGCAGTAAGTTTGAGCCATGCCCACTTTAGGACTCCTCACTTTCGTTCCTGCCAGGAGTGGGAATCTGCTGACAAACTAGAAAGGAGGCTTCTTGCCTACGGAGCTCAGTGAAGCTGGTCGAATTGTCTGCAGTTGATGTTTATGTTCTTCCAACACAGAGTATTCACCACCCACTTGGCTGTGGTATTAAAACTAATATTGGGTAGTTAGGTCACAGGAAGTCATAGCTCTGAGGTGACCTCCCCTTTTCAGAGCAGACCCTGGAGAGCAGGTAGGTGGGGTCACACACATATTTCCATGTTCCCCTGAGCTGTGTGCTTTGGGGCATTTGGCCTTGTCCCTGCTCTTCCTCTCTAGCCCCAGCTGTGGAAACTGAGATTGGTGCCTACTGGGGCCTGTATTTGAGAGGAGTAGACAGCTTGATTACCCCAGGGGCCTGAGGAGGAAAAGTGGCTTGTGGTCCACAGGTTCAGGTCATTGGCATTTCATGGGAGCTCTGGGTATCCCCCTAGCCTGGCACAGACACCACGTTGCACTGGAGCAACATGGATTCTACCCCCCCGCCCCCCCGTATTGCC